GACGACGTGCTGTACCGGTGCCTCGATACCTGCTCCGAAGACATCGAGGAGGCCGTGGCGCACCTCAGCGCGCTCTCCCGCGACTTCTCCGACGCCAAGTTCCTCGAGGTCAAGTCCTGGCTCGCCTCCACGCTCGGCGGCACCTCCACCTGCGAGGACGCCTGCAAGGACGCCCCAGTCAGCGATATCAAGAACGCATGCATCACCAAGAGCTTCGAGTTCGAGAAGCTGCTGCGCGTCACGCTCGACCTCATCACCGAGGCTTCCGGCTCCATGTCGGCCGAGGTCGCCCTGCCTCCCTCGGTGGCGGCGTCGGGCGCCAGCGCGCCTTTGCCGTACGACGGCTCGTCCGCTGGCGCCCCTGCCTATGGCGCGCCGTCTCCTGGCGGCGGTGCCCCAGCTTATGGCGCCAGCGGCTCACCGGCACCGACCCCGGGGAAGAGTACTGCTTCCGACGCGTAACGCGACCGCATGAGTGATATATATGGTTGGCGGCACACGCACCTTATGTGCCAAGGATTTTGTTCTTTCCATCCCACAATTATCCATGCATAAGTATGCCAGTTTAGAATTAGAGTTATTTGGAGGTCGAACTGCATAATTGATGCAAATATAATCAGGCCAGAAAATGGCACATAGGCCGTAGTTGAGTGTGCTTTATTATTATTATTATTACGTTTTGATAGGATGGGTTGAAGGATTTAATGTAGCATTGATGTTTGCTTTTATGAAAAATGTAACATTGATGTTAGCTATGTTACTTTGACATGTTGCAGCAGTAAGCCATCATCTGTTTTTTTCCCTAAAAACATATAATGTACTACCATTCCAAATTGAAACTTTAACTGTTACTTACATTTGTAGTTTATTGTTTGTTAGGAAAATAATACTATCAAACAACATCAAACTACTTTTATTCAGAGGGCAACTATTGGTCAAAGATTACAATTAGATTTAAAATGTGTGCATGTCATTAGAAAAAGAAAAGGATCAGAGGGAGTGTTTCTTTTTTTATAAAAAAAACTTGAGGAGTCGGGGCCCCTACAACGAATATATGCAAAAAAAAAAGAGAGCAAGTACAAAGGAAAACATACAGAGCTCAAGAAACAAAGAAGAAAAAGAAAATAAGAAGTAGACAACAAATTACACCAGATTTTATGTCCATCGATCCAACATAACAACTACCTTTTATTCAAAGGAATAGGAATTATATTAAAATTTCGACACAATATATCCCAAGTTACACATGTAAAAAATCCAAAATAAAAAATATATAATACTTTATCCAAATTCTTTCGTCGTCTTCTTCCACGGTGGCCTTCCTCGATGCAGTCAATGTTCTAGGTGAACAGAGCCTCGTTGAACACCTAAGCCAGGGTATACTCCTTATGCCGAATCCAACGATCAACCAGAAAGCATTGGACATGCTGCAAGATCCAATGTTCTGAAACTAGTCCAAAACGCATCTGAATCAATAAAAGAACATCGCAGTATAAATGAACATTGGCAGTTGCATCGTCGGGTACAACATAGGATGCACATTTGTCACCTTTAATCCTTGACTTTCTCTCCGAGACCATCGACAATGAGGTCAATGACCCAGAGTAATTGTCCTCGTTGGGAGTGCCTATGAGCATCCCTCTCCATGTAGATAATGGCCACAAATTGGCCAACTGTCGATGAAACCGATGCCTGCAATGGCGATCTTGTCGTGAAAATCACCAAGTCATCGCACGTAGCAAGATTCCGACCAAAAATCATTTGATGTAGATTTATTTGGGCTAAACCCTAAGAAAACTAGATCTAAAAACTACGGTAAGAGAGATGGATCCCCTTTTATTCTTGCCACTAGCAGACTCGTCGGAGAGGGGCCTAGATGATGGTGGTGGCGACGAGGAGCGAAGTGTGGTTTCCTGTTGGGGCAGTGGCGGCTTTGCAAAATCTAACCTTATGTTGAACCAAGTGTTGGTCCCACGACAAGCAAGGTAAGCGGGGCGCCTCATGCAAGCCTAGGTCGGTTTCGCTTCGTGGGATTAACCAGGCTCTTGCTCATGCTCAACTAATTTGAGCTTACCAAAGGCGTTACCCGACCAAGAGGTCATGACGACATCCTTCACGTCGTAGACGGACATCGAATCCAACTCGGGAGCTCTGGCTTGGCCAGGCATACAGTTGAGAAATAGGGGAGATCCCCTCGCCGCCATCCCGAGCATGGCTCGGGAGGCTCCGAGGGGCTCGTGGGCTCTTGTTGAGTACCTAACAAAGGGGTTACCTAAACCCCTAGATTAGCACCTTGACAATATGATCAACCCCCTTATTGATTCTCTTAATCAACCAAGGGATCGAGGGCTACACCCGGTGTGTGCGCTCGCACGCACACACCGAACACTAGGAACATATCATTAGGCCCAAGATGGCCCATTCCTTTAATAGTGTAGGGCCTTAGTGGGGAGCTACATACAAGGCAAGCCCACGACCACTAGTAGAAATGTGCACATTTATGATTAAAATCTTAATGACGAATCAAAATCTATCATAGAAGATCGATTTCTAGAACGATTTTTTTTGTGTCGTCATATATCATTAGTGACGGTCATCTATCACTGCCTCTTTATGACGAAACCTGATATCGTCACAAAAATTCATCATTTAACGACATAAGATTTCGTCACCGATACACGCGCAACTGTTCCTACTCATCTGTGATGATCTGCTTTAGAACTGTGACGAACAGCACTTCGTCATTGAACCAATTACTCATCTATGACAAATGGTTTTAGAACTGTAACAAATGCCACTTCATCATAAGTCTCCGCACAGTCCTTTATCCATCCGACGTGTACCTGTGGGACCTGCAAGTACTGTAGCACCACGCCAACCACACTGGCATGGTAAGGCGGAACCATAGAAAAATTGTATCTTTCGTACGGTCTCGGATGAAGATGATTTTTATACGAATGTTGTAGAGCACTTCCGACCTTGGGTGGCCTCGACTGACCTAATGTGTGGAACTGCGGCCTACCGAAGCGCCATCCCAAGCAACCGTTCGCTCGGTGTAGACAAAGGGAATCTCGCTCTAGGTACAGATAAGGGCTCATAGCTTGACACACGGGTAGAGATGCAGGGCATCAGAACCTACTGGAGCTCTGTTCCCTCGCCCTCGCAAGGCTGTGTCGGACACACTCGACTTAGGGTCACATCTGGGGGTGTGACACAACACAACAAAGACATTCATGACCTATGCATGGGGATTTACAGGCCCGTCAGTCAGTCTCCCCAAGCATGCACCCTCTCCCCGCTACGAGAAGGGCAAGACCAGGTGAGGCACAATGGCAATCCAGTCCCTGATAGTCTCCTCTAGGCTCCTACAGTTGGTGTTAAGGGCGGTTCGGCACTGACAGCCACTCGGCGCCACCAGCAGCTCGAAGATCAGGACACAAAACCCTTGTGCTCCCTTGCACTAAGGGAGCTTCCAAATCCATTTCTCCTTATACTCCTCTCGTCCTCTAGCATATAAGGAGTGGCAGAGGCACCGGTTGAAGGGATTGGACCCCAAATGAATCCGGAAAACCATAGATCACTACGAGCTAGCGCTCCCCTAGCTACCACCTCTCTCTCTCTCTCTCCTCCACTGTAAGAACTCAATTGAGCATTGTAACACGAAGAACTAGCTTCTAGACATAGGGCTTAGATGCCTGGACCAGGTTAAATCCTTTTGTGTCTTGAGTGCTAAACCACTAGAGTACCACACATCGATCCATCGATTGAATCGCTAATCACTACCACAGTTACTAACCCATGATAGTAGGGTATGAATTGGGTGGGGTGAAAATCGAACCCCCTTCTAGGAGATTTAGATGGGTGAGGTGGTGCCCTGATTCGAGGTCACCCTCAGCCTACAACTCGCGCCCTATTTGGATGTCCTCCGCATGTCTCATCTGTGGGTATTGACCCTAGGATTCCTGATATGATGTGCACCTTAGGAGGTGACTGGAACCACATTGTGCCCCACTGTAGCTCTCTCTGACTCTGTCAACCTCTGTCCACACTCTCATAGGACTTCCAAGTCTAACCCCGATCCACGGCCCCATTGGAAGCACACCGAAGCAATCAGCGTATGCTTAAGCTTCACGGTGTCTTCTTGCATATCCTCGAAGGGAAAGCCCTTCACTGTCACCGTGTGCTTGAAGCCTCGCGATGTGGAATCAAATGGGAATCCATACCCTCTCTTTGTCGCCTTTTTATCGCGATGCTTCACTCAACAACAGGAAGTCCCATGAGGTCGGAGCACATGACGAAGGCAGCAAGTTGCCGTTCGGATTTTGGTCGGCGGCGGAAGGGACGATGCGAGCATCATCTCCTCGCCGAACGTGGGATGTTCGGCGGCAGCCTCATCAAATCCGATACATAAATATATTGATGAGATATCCATGCATAGCAAAGTACATTGTTATTTATCTTCTTTTTATTTTGTGTAAATTCAGTACATGATGTTTTTATTTTTAGTGTAAATTCCGGACATAGCGAGAAGTAGAGAGAAATGGTCTTAATTAAGTATTTTATTGACGACTATATCTGCTGGAGAAATATAATCATGGGACCAAGAAGAATGTGCAAGCGCAAGCAATTCCTATATATGGAGTATCTACTCCTTCGTTGTCTCTCACACTCTGTCGTACGTGGCACAAATTTGGCAGTGTCGATGTAAATAAGAAGAGAAAAACTGACGAAACAAGAATTTGAGCCACACATAACGACCCAAGAAACCGGGGGACACCTGTCGTAGATGCCACATGGAAGGCTCAGCATGTGTTGCGGATGGCACGTTCCACCTGTCGTCTTTCTCCTAAAACGGCGGTATGCCATACACGCAAGGGCGTCGTTTGGCCCCTCGACGCCTTGAGCTCACAAAGCACACAGATATATAGCCCATGCATTTACCACCCTTCAATTCGTAATCAATCACACCGGGAGAGAAACGCGAACAACCAGCGATCGCCATGGCTCGCTCTGTCTCCGTCGCCGTCGTCGCGCCTCTGCTCCTCCTCTCCGTCCTCGTCTCCACCGCGGCCGCCGCACGGGCCGTGGGCGACACCGTGCAGGACGCGTGCAGCAAGACGCAGTTCCCCAAGATCTGCGTGGACAGCCTCGCGGCGAAGCCGGAGAGCCAGAAGGCGACCCCGCGGAAGCTGGCGGAGCTGTTCGTGAACATCGCGGCGGAGAAGGGTGCCGGGATGGCCACGTTCGTGCACGGCAAGTACAACGCCGCCAAGGACAACGCCGGCCTGTTCAAGTGCTACGACAGCTGCTCCGACGACGTGGAGGAGGCGGTGGCGCACCTCAACGGGCTGGTCCGGGAGCCCACGGACGCCAAGTTCCTGGAGCTCAAGTCGTGGCTGTCCTCCACGCTCGGGGGCACCTCCACCTGCGAGGACGCCTGCAAGGACGCGCCCAAGAGCGGCGACAAGGACGACGTCGTCAACTTCAGCCTCGACTTCGAGAAGCTGCAGCGCGTCACGCTGGACCTCATCACCGAGGCGTCCGGGTCCATGTCCGCGGGCATCGCCCTGCCGCCCTCCGACGCCGGGGCGCCCTCCTACGGCGCGGCGGCGCCCGCAGACGCACCCGCCGGCGCCGGCGCCGAGGGCCCTGCTTCCAGCGCCGCCAGCGGCCCGTCGTCTGGTGGTGACGAGCCGGCGTACGGCGGCAGTGCCGCCAGCGGGCCGGCCGCTGCTGATGCTCCCGCGGCGGCGTCATCCGGGCCCTCTGGCGCACCAGCGCCAACGTCGTCTGAGTCCTCCGGCGCACCATGGCCGTCGTCTGATGGTGGGTCCTCCAGCGCCCCGGCGCCATCGTCCGGCGACGACGACGACGATGACGATTCCGACGCCGACGGGTCAGCTTGAGCGATGACACGGGTTTGTTTGGGTCATTAGGTGCCTACTCCAAGACGACGATCCCTTGTTCCCATTGCATTTTTTGCCGTCCGTTTTCCTCTTGACTATGTATAATGATAATAACAGTGGATGATACTACGTACTACGAATGATGGGTACGTACGTATAGCTAGATGAAGGTGTCTGTGCAAGGACCCATATATGATGCTGACAGATCGCACGCAGTCTCCTTAGTCGGCTGATCCATTGTAACATTGCTGATATCAAGTCTTACATGTTTTTTATTAAATTTATTTATAACAATCGAAACTAATGATGTCCAATGTTCTGTCTTGTGATATGGTTATAATATAATACTATATGTGTTCTTATAAAAAAATATAATATAAATATATGTTATCTTATTACTAGCAAGCATACACGTTCACTGCAACAGCAGGTACAATGTGGGACTCAAAGATTTATTCAACAATCGTGGCAAGGAAACACCGGTGTCTCTACGCTAGGCGTATATAGTGCTATCAACGCAAGCTATATTATATTGGGTATCTCTATGATAGAATGAGAATTTGGAATGCTATTGCTGCTTGTCATCAAACAGAATTGATTCGAACTGACTACCGACTAATGCAGCTCCTACCTGGCTCATGCACACGGCTACATCCTTCCTTTTCCGTCCCACAATCATCCAACCCTTTTTTAGACCGAAGACCCAAACAGAGTCAGTCTAGCAACCGATCATTATAACTTTGGTGTTACACGAGCCATACTTAATGACAAAAAAGAATTTTCTCAGTACACAATTTCTTCTTGTTAAGAATTCCTCAATTAGAGGATCGATGGGCTCATACATACCATATATGTCTTAGAGAGGCTACCATATATACTTTGAAGGCTATATCTATATAAGAAACTATATGTATATCTATATAATGACTAATGAAGTGAAATAGATCATATAAGATTAGATTGCTAGGCCCTTGCCGCTGGCTTGCCCAAGGGCCCTTGAAATTGTTGAGACGGACCTGAATGAAGAGAGGGCTCCCTCACATACTTGTCTCCTTTGGATTCTTGTTCCATGTTCTTGAGGATTGGGTAAGAGAGTGTGAAACATTACTTTTTCTTGGATTAGGGATAGAAAAACGGATCTAGCAGTCCGTGAATAGGTCTATTTTCAGCAGTCAGTTACCTGTTTTCCTATTTCATTGTCACCTTTCCTAAATTACCCTCTTCGTTTGTACTATTATCAATGTCACCTTTAAGTATGAAGGACGGATGGCAGTACTTTTAGGGCTTTATTGGGTATATAAGTTTTATAAGGAGACATAAAACATTATATAACTGTATACACATACTATAGGTGGGAGTGGGTCACCTTCGCAATTATTTACCATATACTTTGCTATAGTTACCGAAACAAGTAGCTAGGCCTTCTTGCCATTCTGGTAAATTCAGTTGCCAAGTTATTGGACGATACTCTTACTATATATTCATTAATAGTATTAGTGTTATAGATTTTCTGTACAAACATACGCTGCATTTGGCACTTATTGTTCATGTTTGCTTCTCTTATAACCCGTCTTTTTCAGCTTGTTTTTTCAGTCGAAACAGTATTTTTCTCTCACAACAAATTAGCCAGAATAGTGTTTCGGCTTATTTTTCCAGTGAAACGAACGGGGCCATTAAGACGCATTCCATATATTATGAATATATAGACATTATGTTCTAAAATTATTAAGCACGAAAACAACGTAATTACTTGTACATCTAGTCTAGAACCATAATAATGTTCAACGCTACGTACGAGAAAACCTCTCCGCCGTTTCTCAGCATAGGGCATAGGCGCAATCAAGTTAATTTACTGTGCCATGGCCGCGTATCGCTCTCTCGCTCTGGCCTTCCTCCTCGCCGCCGTCCCGGGCACCCTCGCCGTCGACTCCCGTTCCACGACCACCGATGGCCTCCAGAAGGCGTGCAACGCGACGTCTTCTCCGAGGATATGCCTGAAGGTGCTGACGAGGGCGGGCCCAGACCCGGAGAGCCCGTCGACGGCGGCGAGCCCCCGGCGGCTGGCCGAGCTGGCGTTCCGGTACCTGGAGAAGAGGGGGCCGGCGCTGCTAGCGGAGGCCCGGCGCGAGACCGCGGCCACCAGGAACCGGTCCATGCGCTACTGCCTCAGGGAGTTCAACGACGACATCAGGGTCTACGCCAGGTGGCTGCACGGGCTGGCGCCGGAGCGCGGCGGCGGCGACGCCGAGTTCGTCGAGGCGAAGCGGCGGCTGGAGGCGCTCCTGGAGGCGCCGTCCAACAGCGGGATCAGCTGCTGGGGCGGCCAGGTCGACGAGAAGCCTGTCATCCGGAGGATCTTCGACTACGAGGCCATGATGCAGGTCACCCTCTGTAGGATTTAGGATCACAGATCACACGAATTTTCAGTGGCTAATCCTAACTGGATTGAGGAACAAATGTAAAACAAGGACGAACACACGAACTGACACTAAACACTGTCGGAGGTCAGAGCCTCTTTACTCAGATATGTGTGAAACGTACTTGACAATTACAAAATGAACCAAGCAGTTAACACGGGTGCTTGGACAAGCTACTTATACCAGTAGCAAACTCACGCACTAATCTTAGCAAATCAACTGCCTAAACATAGGCTAAACACACTTAAACGATAACTGCAACTTGACACAGGAGAACGTGGGCGCGGTCACCACACCACTGTCTTCGGCTGATTCAAACTTACCCAGTTTTCGCCTTGACAGTCATATTCAGTAAACCTCCACGCTTCCTTGAGCTGCTCCATCTGTCAGGATCAGTGTATGCAGGATTACACTCAACATTCTCCCCCTTAATCCTGTAATACACTGAGATCTCTAACACCAAGCAAATGCCTCATCACCATCAGACTTCCAGCTGCAAGAGCCTTTGTCAGTGAATCTGCCATCTGCTCTGCTGTTCCAACTCTCTTTGCAACAATTTGTTCCCTTTCAATGCACTCTCTGATGAAATGATACTTGGTATCTATATGCTTGCTTCTCCCATGGAACACAGGGTTTTTCATCAGTGCAATAGCAGAATTGTTGTCAACATACATTGCCACCACTTTTCCCTTTGTTGAAGTCAACTCACTTAGCAAATTTCTGAGCCATATAGCCTGCATAGTTGTTGCTGTTGCTGCCATAAACTCAGACTCACAAGATGATAAGGCCACTGTCTTCTGTTTCTGTGAACACCAAGTAATCAAATTACCATTCAAGTAGAATGCCATACCCCTAGTGCTCCTTCTTCCAACCAAATCTCCAGACAGATCACTGTCAGTGTACCCCACTAACACCTCTTCACCTCCAACTTGAGTATATACAAGTCCCATCTCAATTGTTCCTTTGAGATACCTCAATATCTGCTTGATTGCTCTCATATGCATTACTGTAGGTCTTTTCATGAACCTGCTAGTCATCCCAACTGAATATGCTAGGTCTGGTCTTGTATGCAACAAATATCTCAAACATCCCACCATTTTCCTATATTCAGTTGCATCCACAGGCTCACCACTCTTATCTTGGTGAAGCTTGATCCCTGGATCCATTGGAATCTTGGCTGGGTTACAATCACCCATGCCAAACTGATTCAGTATCTTCTTAGCATAGCTGGACTATTTTATTGTGATGAAATCAAGCTGCTGATCAACCTCAATACCCAGATAAAATGATAGTAACCCCAGATCACTCATCTCAAATTGAGTTGTCATTTCTGTCTTGAACTTCATGATTTCAGCTGGATCACTTCCTGTCACAATCAGGTCATCTACATATACACCTAGAATCACTGCATTTCTTCCTGTTCCCCTTGTATACACAGCAGGCTCACAAGCACACTTGGTGAAATTCAAGCTTTTCAGACTCTTGTCAAGCTTCACATTCCAAGCTCTTGGAGCTTGCCTGAGACCATACAATGCCTTGCTGAGTTTCAGTACACATTTCTCCTTCCCTTTCACCTCAAAACCTTCAGGTTGAGAAACATACACCTCCTCTTCAAGATCACCATTGAGAAATGCTGTTTTCACATCTAGATGATGCACCTGCCAGCCTCTGTTAGCTGCTAATGCCAAGATCATCCTCACTGTATCAAGTCTAGCAACTGGCGCAAAGACTTCTTCAAAATCAATTCCCTGTTTTTGAAGATACCCTTTTGCTACCAATCTTGCTTTGTACTTGATTATTTCTCCTTCTGCATTTTTCTTTAATTTAAACACCCATTTAAGACCAATGGGTCTTTTCCTAGGTGGCAACTTAACCAGTTCCCAAGTCCTATTCTTTGTAATTGACTGCAGTTCATTTTTCATGGCTGCTTGCCAATTTTCATCACCAGCAGCATCTTTGTAGCAACTAGGTTCCTCCATTATTGCTAACAAAGCCTTAGTATCTGAATCCAACTCTATTTCTTCAGTCATCTCATATATCTCATTCAAGTTCTTGAACCTAACTGGACTCTCCTCTGCACTACTAGCAGAGCTTTGTCCAACTGAAGGTGACTGTTCACCAACTGGCAATAGACTTGCTAAAGAATGTGCTGCATTCACTGCTGATGCATTTGCAGAATTTCCATTTCAGTGATTAGGAGTGACTGCTACTGCCTCATTTTCTGCTGTATCACCAGAATATTGTAGCTGATCCGGCAATACACTGCCATGATTTTCTGTACTGTTTGATGCTCCCCCTGACACTGACTGTGCCTGTTGTACATCATCAGTACCATTTACAGTGTCCATCACATATCTTCCTCCCTCAGAAACATCATCAACATGAAAATCAGCTGATATATCCTCAACTGAGTTGTCTGACCAATTCCATGGCTGTTTTTCTTCACATACAATGTCTCTACTGACAACAATTTTGTTGTCAGCCACATCAAGCAATCTGTGTGCTTTGCATCCTTCATCAACACCCAAATATATCATGGGCTTGCTCCTGTCAGCTAGCTTCTTTAAGTGTGGACCAGCAACTCTAACATGAGCAGTGCTTCCAAACACCTTCAGAAATCCTAGGTTTGGTTTTCTTCCCCACCAACCCTCAAAAGGTGTTTTATCTGCCATTGCCTTAGTGGGCAATCTATTTAGCAAGTAAACTGAATGTCTCACAGCTTCACCCCAAAGCTTTCCTGGCATATTCATACTTTTCAACAGTGACCTTGCCATCTCCATCACTGTTCTATTTTTCCTTTCTACAACCCTATTCTGCTGTGGACAGTATGGTGCAGTCAAGTGTCTCTGAATTCTAGCTTTCTCACAAACATCTTTGAATGTTGCTGCAAGGAATTCTCCCCCCTGTCAGATCTTAATGCCTTAATTTTTCCCCAGTAACATTCTCAGCTTCAGCTTTGAATTTTACAAAAGCATCAAGAGCCTGATCCTTGGATTTCAACACATACACACAGCACCATCTTGAATAATCATCAATTAGCAACATAAAATATTTATTCCCACCAGCAGTTGATGGAGTAATTGGGCCACACAGATCAACATGAACTAATTCTAGCTTCTTCTGTGCTCTCCACTTTGCTACTCCAGGATATGATACTCTTGTCTGTTTAGCTGCTAAACAAGCTCTACATAACTGATCTGGGTGTGCAATTGCAGGGACACCAGCTGCCATGCCTTTATTAGCCAAGAGTTTCATTGAGTTAAAGTTTACATGACCCAATCTACCATGCCACAATCATGCCTGTTCAGTGACACTAGAGAGGAAGCAAACAGGTACTGCTATCTTCAGTTCAACCTTGTAAAGTCTATTTTGTGTTCTACCAACTCTCATGATCAATCTAAAGGGATTTTTCTCACAGACCTCTATGACATCATCATCAAGCAGTATTCTATGACCAGTTTCAGTTAACTGACCTAGGCTAATTAAATTACTTCTCAGCTTTGGTATGAAAAATACCTCAGTAAGAGCCCATTGGTCACTAGTTTTACACTGAAACAATATTGTCCCTCTGCCCTTGATCTCGACAGTTGATCCATCACCAAACCTCACTTTGCTAGTGACTCCTTCATCAAGTGAACTGAATTTACCCAAATCTCTAGTCATGTGGTTACTTGCTCCATTATCAAGATACCACATGTCTCCTGATGAATCACCTCCACCAGTCAGATGCAGTTCTGGCATCACCCTTCCCTCCTGCAGATACACTTTCTCCCCCTTGCTTTCTGAGACAACACTTTTAGTCTCTACAAGCATGAGAGCTTGAGGCTCCTTGCCTTCATCTACACGAGCATGATGTGCCTCCTCCTTCCTTGCTTCAGGACACCTGTTGGCATAGTGTCCATACTTGTGGCACTTGAAACACTTTATGTGGCTTTTGTCTCTGGTGCCTCCAGCTCCATCTCTCCTAGATGAGTCACCATGGCCACCCCGACCTCTACCACGGCCACGACCTCGACCCCGGCCGCCACCACTTCCTCTCTCTGAGGATTCACCTCCCCCAGACTTCTTGTATCTTGACTCCCACTCAGCCTGGGTCAACAGCAACTGATCGCTGCTATTGTTGCTCATGGATCCTGCTCCCCGCTTCGTTCATTCTTCAAATGCCTTCAGTCTCCCGATAGCTTCATCAAAGGCAAGTTTGGACAAATCATAAAATTGCTCGATCCCGGCTATGACGTTGATGTAACGATCAGGCACGGTGTCGAACAATTTTTTCACAAGCGCTGCATCATCCAGAGTCCTTCCAAGATTACTGTACTTGACTGACATAGCTGTCAGTTTTCTAGTGTACTGATCAAGCGACTCCGCTTCCTTCATCTTCAACCCATCGAACTCACTCTTCAAGGTTTGCAACCGTGCATCCCGCACTCGAACTGCTCCCACGAACCTTGCCTTCAAAGAGTCCCAAACTTCTTTTCCACTCTTCTTCATGGCAACTTGCATCAGCAAATCATCAGGCAAACACTGAAGCAAGTGAGATCGAAGCTTCCTATCCTTGCCTGCAACCGTCTTCACTGCTTCTCTGCCGAAGTGCCCTCCGGCAGCTCCACAACCTCCCACCACCCTTGATCCTCCATGATCGCCTGCACCCAGATGCACCAACTAGTGTAGTTCGTTGCCGTCAGGGACGGGAAGACCTGATGATGGCCGCCGCTGCTGACTCCCCCCCGCGAACCGTCTCCTCCCGAGGTCGACATGGACTCAACTTTGTGGTATTTGTGGACTCAATCGTATGATCTATGGCTCTGATACCAAATGTAGGATTTAGGATCACAGATCACATGAATTTTCAGTGGCTAATCCTAACTGGATTGAGGAACAAATGTAAAACAAGGACGAACACACGAACTGACACTGAACACTGTCGGAGGTCAGAGCCTCTTTACTCAGATATGTGTGAAACGTACTTGACAATTACAAAATGA